TATTCAAGTGTTTTTGGTAGGTATTTCAAGCTTTTCTGCTCCAGCATTGGAATGCGGGGCATGAACGTTTTTTTTTTTTTTTAAATCAACAGTTTGCAATATGCAATTAAAAATCCTAACCAATAAAGTAGGGAATAGCTATCCAACTGTTGTTTTAGTTGTATGTTACTTCATATTATAGTTATATCAATGTAAATCATTGTTTTCCCTTGTGTTTCTCATTCTTTCCCTGCCATGTCGTAAAATGTGGTGAACCCATCGCTGTATTTGCTCCAAAGCAAATATTGGCCTTTCTAGTTAGAAAACATATTCTCGCATTATTCCTTAATCAGTTAAGCTCACTGACTATATTTTGTACATTTCTGATGACATGTGATATATTTCACAGGTTATATTTATATTAACCAAAAAAGATTTCCCCCTCGAACTTTATGGGGTATGTTGTTGAATGGCTCTGTCTTTCCTTTAGAACGACGAAGCTCAATGTTAATTCCAGGTCTCCTATAAAGTGGCTCTGCTGAATACTACAGAATCTCTAGTTTTCGTATCTTTCGTTAATATAGAAAAGTTTATTTCAAGTTCGTGCTCGTAGGCTAATTGCCATAACATGTAACATGAAGATAATGGATAGACAATGGATAAAAAATTATAGTATGTGACTACAGTAACTAATAAAGACTAACTTCTAACTTATTGGGTTCGGTCGACTTCTTATTTTCCGAGGCAGTGAAAGACGGACGATCCCACTTTTTTATAATATGAGCGTTTCTGATGTTCAGAACATGATTTAGTCTAAGTAATTTGCTGGCAAATAGTTTTTGATGTCAGGAAAACAGTGATGTGTTTTTAGTCTCACTACCAGCAAGCGTTTTGGTCGACAGCTTTCCATTTTTACATCTGCCAATATTTTTCCGTAGTATTTTTTGTGATATTTGTTATTCTTTGTGGATTTTTTAAAGTATATTATTCATACTAATTATAGATTTATGCTAGTCGGCATAACATTCTCGTTTACTTTCTATTAAGGCCACACCAACTTAATTTTATGGATGACATCCGCGCGCGCATTGATTTTCGCTTGTTCTCCAAAAAAAAAAAAAGATCACGTCCTCCGAGGATCTGGCCTTGCTCTAGGCCTGGGTAGTCCATGGTAGTATGCAACAATACGGAGCCGGTGGTAACTTTGGAGGACGGCTCCACGACTCAAGAACTGAGTACATACGTGCAGTGCCGATTCATAAATTCCGCAAAAAGCCAGCATATCGTATACGTCGCTATGGACTGCCACAAATTCACAGTACCAGCTCTGTATTTATGTGGTTTAGTTGCATTTTTATTTTTTGCCGGAATTTTTTTTTTATTCGCCCGCGCGCACTAGTTTGGGGGTCTTCAGAGGATGTCATCCATAAAATTAAATCGGTGTGGCCTAAGCTACGGAAAAAGCAGCGATCATTTTTTGTTTGCTGAATATGAAGAACGGCCATTTTGATTTACTATATGGATGATATCCTCGGGGAACCAAAAACTGACAAAAGCATGCAAATGAAAAAAAAGTTTAGCCAAAAAATGCCTTCATTATGAAATATACGTGGGTAGGAAGGTGAAATAAATGACTATACTGAAAAAAATGTCATTTTTGGTCTTTCGCATCTTCTTCTTAGACTTTGGAATTGTTTTTGGTGCTCTGCGAAATTATCATCACATCATTGCATACTGATGCAAATACATATTGGATGTCCATCGATGGAACATGTTCCCGATCGGTAGCCTGTTTTGTACAATCTCTCGTCATGGTGTGACATGGTCATACACCTTTTAATTTCACAGAATATTTCCCCCTTCCCAGGACTACAATGGAAAGCTCAGAGTTACTTAACATTGTGTTTATTACTCCGTAGCAATTTGCGTACGGTTCCTATTTGTATTAATGGACAAGTATTTTTTTTTACAGATTCGCCTGTACAATGGATACACGTATGAGACCACCCGTTTCCGATGTAACTGTGACCTTTCTAAGGACAGTGATGACTCACCCAATGCCGCCGAATCCATTACTGTTGATCGTTATAATAGTGAGTTGTCTGGCATCATTATCTAATAGTCGTTATGGAAATATATATTATGTTCAACGCGGCATCGCTGTTTTGATGCTGTTTAGCACAGTAGTCGGTCACTCGGGCAAACATCGCATT